CGTCGTATATCGTAACCAAGCCCATCGATATGGCCTCTCAGGTCCGCGTCTTCGTGTTCGGCATGCGTGAGGACATGACACATTACTACCTCATCCGAACCGAGGCTTCCACGCTTGAAGAAGAATTTGCCCTCGCGCTCCGTGATGATTACGTGGTGGTATCATCTTATGCCCGTGCGCTATCTGGGTCAGTTCGAGAGACGACCCCTTATCCCATGGAAATCGGCGCATTTGATTTGTCGAGCAGTCGCCAACGCAATGGTTTTGGCGGGCCAGGTGGTCATGCGGGTCGCTCCCTTACCTGCTTCCGTTACCGGAGGCCTAGACATATCGCGGCAGTGTGCCGCGCAACCGCTCCGGTTTTCGCACATGTTGACGTCGAAGCTGCTTCTGCGCTTCAGCCAAAAACACGGTCAGGGCCGGTGCGGGGCGCCCTACGGGTTGGAACGAAGATCCGGATCCCCCGCCGGCAACCCAACCTTCTAGCCCTCCCGTGCTTCAAGCACATTTTAATACCACCACCCCACCGAGCGATTCGAAACTGGTCATTGTCAGTCTTCACATCGCTGGTGCCCGGCGACCGCTGCGCACACTCCTGGACTCAGGGGCGACGGACAACTTCTTCCACACTCCTGTCTGTCGGTTCTCTCATCGGCGATCAGCGTCTGCAAGGGCCGCTGCGCGGCGTGAGATCACACTGCCGTACACGTTTGACGAATTTCGTAGCAAGAATGACCTCCTTGTGATTGGCATGAACTACGCGTTCGACCGCATCCTGGGCATGCCTTGGTTATCGAGATATCAACCAGAGATCGAGTGGTTGACTCGGTCTGTCAAGCGTCGTGGTGACTTCGACGTGAGCGAGGTGTTCGCTTACATCCTGGTTGCCCAGAAGGGCTGGTCCCACGTCACTTAGATGGACCTGACAGAATTATTAGCAGAACGTAAGATGATCTACATGAGCAATTGTAAGACAGCAAAATGGCGGTGGATCCGCGATGGTATGGCGAGGCTTGAGCGCCATGTGAAAGATGCGTGTTGCTGTGGTTAATGGACGTCATGCTTCGGCACAGTAGATTTATACTGTGTCGGAGTGCTTGCAGTCCTATGCGCATCTGCACGACAGCGCACACATCCGAGTTCTTTTTTAAAAAAAAAACTATGAATCAGCGTACTTGACTGGTCAGTTGTGACGGGGTCACACAGCACCTTGTGCAGAGGAAGTTCATTTCCTCTAGAGTATACAAACTCTAAGTGAACGACCGTTCACGTGTCCCTGGTCTGAAGGGGACGAAGTACTCACTTGAGGGTACGATTAACCC